CAATGGCTTTTATTAGTTGCTGCAGACGCCAATAGCCCATTGAGAAGGATCGACATTATTTTTAGATGATCTTTAAAAGTGTTTATTATTAGATGCGCGAATTTGTCAGATGCGGCTGTGACGCCACGTGTTAAGTACTTGATCTGAGGTTATGCAACTGTTGATACGTCACGGACGACAGGTCTAAGTGAATAAAAGCGAATTCCATTGGCAGGTGTATGGTGGTGTTTCTGCACTCAATGTATATGTTTCCTACTCACTCACATGTGTTGAACAGAGGTAGATTTACACTCAGTGGAGAAACACTCCACCAGTTCCTGCCAATGGAATTCAGGTCAACAAAAAGGATCAAACTCGATTTGAGAGGAAATCAGCTGAACAAAACTTACACAGGGCGTATATAGGGTGTCAATTTCTTTAGCCGTATTATATTATCATGATCATTTTTATATGTTGGAAATAGGTTACTTTTCTGTTTACTGAAAGCACATAATGTATTGACGTCATGGGCCTATTTCATCATCCTTTCTTGGAATTCGTATAACATAAAATAGATCTTGAACAGATCTATTGAAATCTACTGCATTTTTGACAAGGTATTTATTGATGGAATAAAAATTGAACTGACAACCTTGGTCCGCGCGGAGAATAAGTTGACAACAACTGTCATTTGCTATTGTCGAATTTATTATTCACCAAATCCGATAGATTTGACGATGTGAATAAGACCGTGATGTGAATATAAGTGTTCGAGGTCGACGAAAAAATGTAATATGCAGCTCGGCGAAAAACTGTCTATTCCCTATGATAACACAACTCGATCCAATGGACGTCCTATGGACATCGCCCTCTGGACATCGTCCTCTGGACATCTCGGGCATCCATAGAACATCCAGTTTGTGTACACTGGATGACGTATGGACATCCATAGAATATCGTGTTTCCAACTTTTCAGCTAATCATACGGTATCCGTCATGGACATCTATATGGTATCCGTCAAGGACATACATATGGTATCTGTCTAGGACTGGACTGGATATGGTAAATTTAATGGAATGTCTTAATTGCATGCATTCATATTATAAAGGAATAAGATCTAGTCAATAAATAGAATCTATGTTTCTGGTTGTTATTTTTATTTTAAATGTGATTATATTCAAGAACACTAGGTACTATAATACCAGGTGACCATTTATATTCTGACCCATTTCAAATGCTCATATCTCTGAAACCATTCAAGTTATCGTTGTGCAGTTTTGACTAGTCTATTTTGATGTTTTTCAAGTTTTTTTGACGTGTTCATCTTCTCACTTGAACTTCCGGTTCTACGGGAAACAAACCAGCAATAATTCAGGTATAGGACAACTTTTTTATTTCATTGATTCACCCTGTATATTTTTGCGAATTCAGAAAGACTGGTCCATTGTCGATCTAAATGAAAACCTAGTAGGCGACCTAGTGCGAGGAGGTATAATATTGTCTGTTCATTCAATCAAAATATGTCTGTCTGTCAAGTGGCGCTGAGGCAGAGAAATTGGAAAGAGCTCATTTGTTTATGTCAAAATAGACCATATTAGGTTGATATTCTCTTCTTCTATTTTTCTCCAATATGTACTCAACCACAGACGTGTTTTCCATCATTGACGTCATATTTGATAGGAAGACGATGGAGATTCATGTAATCATAAAATCATTTTCTGACAGTTGTCATTAAATTATAACTTCGTCTTTGTGGATGTGTTGAACTTTGATTTCCTTTCTTGGAAATAACAATTATACCTAATCATTTCTTCTAGTATTGGTTTTCTATCAAAGTTTGTTGATTGGTTTGTGAGTGCGATTGTGTTATTTTGCAATGTCATCTGAAAACTGCGCACTCCAGAAGGTGAAGGTGTAATTGAATTATCAAGACATGGTTTCTCCAATCCCCATTGTTGTGAATTTGAGCCTCAAATCCTGAGGCATCAATGGGGCGCCATATTCATTGGATATCAAGGTGAACTTTTTTCTTTAATCGCATAAATTTTGAAACTTAATGATATTTATATTTCAGTAATGTGAGTTTTTGAAGTAAACGACCATGATACTATATGTTTCCAACATTTAAGGGAACTGTTTCTTGCCAATGAAGAATATAGGAAACGATTTTGGAAAGAGAGTACGGTTCCAAGTTTGTTCAAGGTAGGAATATATAAATAAAATGGTATTTAACAAGTTTGTACCTATACTAACTAACTAATTATTAGTTTCGGTATGAAATTTACCAAGAACTTTGATTCCTCTAAAAGTTGTTCCATAGTCAAAAGTCATTAAATTCATTTCAGAATGGTACAGGACATTGAAACTAGGGACAATATTTTTATATTTTCAGACTCATCAATGTTGTTTGGAATATGATGCTGAAGAGGAATTCCTCTGCCTTAAGGAACACGACCTGATGATGAAGAAGCATCTGAGGAGGAAACGGGCATTTGAACAGATATTATAGAATGATAATAAATAATAATAAAGTTCATTCAAAATGTTGACTTGAATATAAATTAAAAAGATACATATTGGTATTGAATATTCCTGTGGTTTAATTTGTGGCAATAATAGACACATCTTCTCATATTTAGTGAAGTTCATAACTTCAATAAGATGATTTAATAAAAAATAATCATTGTTTTACTTCAAAAATACTTTACCTATATACAATATTGGCACAATATATATAGTGTTTTCAAACTTACCTGCCAATACATCTGTACAACAATAAACAGGGTATCAGAAGAGAACAAACTATATAGTAGAATGAAAATTGAAATAATTCTTCATAATTATGTACAATTCATTAAAAAAGTATATTGCCATTCATACATACAAGTTATATTCCAATAAAAAATTCTAAATATCCCAGCATCTTGACAAAGAACCCTGAACAATAGAATACCATATATCTGAGGATGATCCCTATATCTTGAAATCACTTTACTCTAGTGAAATTCTGAGTGGCTCACTACGAAAATGGTCCTGAGTGTGCTGGAGTGGAATATCACAATCATGTTCCTCATCATCTAATTGATTGCTTGAAAAATAGATGAATTGAATATACATTGGGGTGTGTATAATTTGCAGCCTAGAATGAAATGCTGGGGACTGGCAATTTCCAGCAAATAAATCGTTGTTCTTACTGCTTATCTGGATTCAGCTCATCGAACTACAGGATGAAAAGTTTCTGATTTTATTCACTGCCCCATTTTCTTGTGTGTTTTTTCATAAAATCTTGTGAACTGGATATTTTTGCAGCTCGACTTTCAAGGAGGTACCTATCTATAAAAAATATAATGATATTTTGTGTTTGGAGCCGAATATCCATAAGACATTGATGAAATAACCAGATTGAGTCTAACCTTAGTGCTTCTATATATTTATTTCAGATGGTAAATTTTCCATTCTGTTCTCGAACATCATCATATCCTTCTGGTACATTCCTTCTGAACATTACTCACATAATGATTTCTAATGTGATACTTCCACATCACTCATAGTTTTTCGTTTTTCAACTGAAAAGCTATTAATGTAAGTACTCTTCGCTGTAGGTAGGTACCTGAAATTTTCAAGTATATAGTGATTCCGATTTTTACATCACTAAAGACATGTGTTCACTGCAAATAATGGAATTTCATGAATTATATAGTAACTTATCAAAAATATAGAAGGAAATAAGCAGCCCCTACCTTTCTGCTTGGCTTTCATGTCGAAAAAGTGTAATAGCACTATTGAGTTTCCGAAGTTTCCACAGTTCCAACTTAATTTCAAGTTGCATCATAAATCATACTAATACAGCATTGCCTAAACATCTTCCTGCTTCCATTCAAGTATAGGTAGATGGTTTTCAAACTTGATAATATCCTTCGTGATAATGTTTCATTTTCGGGATTCCACATGACAGATTTTAATTTACAAACTTGACAGGACCATGAAAAATGTTACGGTTAGGAATAAAAAATGAATAACTTAGTTTACTTAATTCACGTAGATGTCTCTGAACTACATATTTTCTTTATTTGTCTTTTCAATGAACAGACAATATTATAGCTCCTGCCTACTAACTATGTAACTAGGTTGTCATCCAGAACGACAATGACTGGTCTCTTCTCTATCTGACAATGTATTACAACTCCACTGAGGCTATATTCCGAATTCAACTGGTCAGTACTGTCAGTAGATCCACTGACTCTGCTGAAAATCTGTGTTCCGAAATATAAAACCAAAAATACAGTGCTGTAATTTGGAACAGGTTTTCTATGGGAATCAGCAGCAGTTGATCAGCTGGTAAAATTTGTCAGTTCTCAGTTGTCAGGTTGTCACTTCTGTAGTTTCTCTTTCTCGTTTATCTAGATATTTTAGCAGTCATTGATCTGGCTAATGCTCCTGCTTGAGCTGAATTTTGGAGATTTAATATTCAACATGGAAGAGCAATCGATTCTTGTAGCCTCCATAGTTTCTACGATTGTTGACCATGACGATTCAAGCTCGAGTGATACTTGGACATTTTGATGCCAATAAGTTTTCATGATGCACTAGATCGAGAATTGAAAGATTCATGGAAAACATGATATGGCATTATTCAAATGATGAATTTAGGAGCAATTTCAGGTTTATTCAGTTGTTTATTCAGCCAATGCTGCTTCTTCTTTATCTCTACGTTATCTATTGAAAATTACATTATTAATTTATTATTTATTATTGTTAAAAGACGAGACTTGATGTTACGTTTTCATGGTTTCTATCAGTAATCAGCAGCAGTTGATCAGCTGGTGAAATTGGAATATTATTATTATTGATCAGACAAGACTTAATGTGGCACAGCCGTCTTCAATGACTTAGAGTTTCTCTCTTTATGTGACCATTGCATTCCACGTTGAGTATTTGGCTTTTTCCCTAGTTGATAATAGACAGTGTTTCGCCCTTGGTACATAAATAACTATTCTATTCTATTCTATTCTTTACTCACGTTCCAGGCGGTGGCGATCAGCTCGGTCCTGTCCTTATCCCCCTCCACCTCCGAGTCGGATGACAGGGAGGCCTCGTCGCCGCTCTCCACCGTCGGCAGCGGTCGGTCGTTTTCGCTGTCGTCGTCGTCGTGCCTGGCGGGGACGGCTTGGGCGAACGCCTCGACCACCCGCCGCTTCTCGACCGCCTCTCGGGCGGCGGTGAGCTCGGCATGCTCGCGCAGCAGCGAGCCGAATTTCTCGAAGAAGCCGCCGTCCACCTGCTGGATTCTGGACATGGAAAAGAGAAAGGATTGGATTTCGCATACAGGATGTCAACGAATCTATCAGACAGAAAAATAAAACGCTTCGAGTTAAATTCGTAGAGCATGTTTTTAGAGTTAAAATACTGACACTGATACTGCAATCAAGTATATTGCTACACTTCTCGCAGATCATCTCCTTTGAAACTAATTCTAGATTGAATTTCCACTATTCCCGTATTGAATTCACTCTATATTCCTGAAATTTCAATAAAATAGCAATTCAGATAACTATCAATTCACAAACAATTGAAAATGAACTCATACTAGTGAACTTGAATGTCTCACTCTTGTGAGACATTCTTGTGATTAAATTAACACTCTTATCATTCGCAAAAACTTCACAAACGATCATTGTTCAATTCAATCTATCAATCTATACAGTTTCAAATCGTTTAGTCTATACTGGATGGTCACATTGAACAACAAGTTTCTAAAGCTAAACGAGCCATTGGAGCCCTGTATCCATTTCTAAACAGGCGAAGTAAATTGGGTTTGAGACAAAAATTGAATATTTATATCATGGCTATCAGGCCAATTTTACTGTATGCCTCAGTAGTCTGGGGCCACACAGCTAAATCTCATATTACCAGATTACAAACATTACAAAACAAAGTCGCGAGAATGGTGACAGGATCTCCTTGGTATGTTCGGAATAACCAGATCGCCAGGGATCTGAAACTCCCTTCAATCGTGTCAGTCATTAAAGAACGAAACATCAAGACTTTCGAAAAAGCTGAGGTTCATGAGAATCAGCTTCTTCGAAATGCAGTTGATTATGACCCAGGTGATCAATCAAAGTTCAAAAGACCGAGATTGTCCATAAACTAGAGAAAATATCGACATCATGACCAAATTTACTATTCTCAAGTTTTTGATATTTATTTTTTTTCCGTTCGATCTCTTTCAATTCTTAGAATGAATGAAAATTATTTGGGGCAGAAGGGCTGTTCGCATCAAACTTCAATACCGTTTTTATTTTGTTCCATAATAGATATCAGGATAAGAGGGACTCTTCCCTGGTCTGAATAAAATAAAAGAAAGATCCAATAATACTGGATGGTGAAATAAGTGATAATGATTATATGATATTAATTTCAAGTAGCTTTCTTACTATACCCGCGTTGTGAGAGATTTTTAACATTGAGTTATTAACGTATTTTCGTATATCTTCGTTTTTCCCGTTTCTTCCATTTCGAATGATTTATGAAACAGATATGTTAACTTATCAGTCTAATGTGACTCGAGGTATTCTTCCAATATCAGCTGAACGTCTACCGGAGGCCTATAAATACTGTGACATGTGATAGAATCTCATTCTCAACAGTAATTGTAGTTCCTAGTTGTCCCAACTAGTGTTCAATACAATCTAAAATGATGAATAAATGATAACTCCTCATTATAGCACCTAAACTCATAGTAGTGTTAATTTGATCAATGCAGGTGCAATCTAAAATTCACATTGTGAATAATTTAATCAATTTCCAGTGGATTCGACACTGTTTATAGTGTGAAATCTACTCTCTACTATTATATTCGAACTGTCAACTTCTGTGACTATATAATACTCGGTTGACACTAGCTTGGGTCTTGAGTGGAATGTTCACTTTCGAAATTGTTTCTTTCAACTCCATTTTGGTGTTTATTCAATATATTCGGAGAAATACATAGTCACAGAGTCAGTTTGAATGTGTTTGCATTGAGAATTTACACTAATAGAATTGAAAAAAATCACACTATATTATACTAAACTATAGAGTTAAATCATTTACTCTAAAGCTTAGTGGTCCTCCTGGGAATAGGTATAGTGTTCAATTCCACTCTTTTTTTTTACTGTGATTAAGCTGTGATAGACAAGCCGCAACTTCTAGAATATAGGGTTTATCAAAATGAAATTTAATACGCTGATATGGTATGTGAAAAGGATCGTTTTCGCATATTTTACACTTCCCGGTCACTTCCGGTTTCATCGGAAATGGTTCCAGTTTCGAATTTTCAAATGGTACTTTTTGTATTTCTGAGATAATTCTGGATGAGAATATGATATTTTCAGAAGTTTATACGCCTATTTCATTTTTTTAGGGTCACTTTTAATATTCCATCTAGGTGGCCATGATCGACCATAAACTTATCTAAGGAGTAAGGACCTCAGGTGAAGCCAGTAAATTATTATCACACAGTTTTAGGGACTAGTATGATCGAAAGAAAAAAGTCAAGTTGACAAACTTACATTTCCGGGTCTAACTAAACTGCTGATAAATCGAACCGCATCAAGCACATTTTTGCTTTGAATTCAACGTTGAATATTATCTCGCGAAAATTCCACTTATTCGGGTGCGGTTTTCTTTATTCTGAAGATTGATCTATTAGTTATATGACAGATAGGCCGCTGATGGAAATACATGGTAACCTCTGGCTATACAGGGTGACAAACAAACCTCTGCAAAATATTGAAAAATTTTCCATACTCCCAATTTGATGGAAAATTTCTGAGATTTTTTTCAAGCATATTTTCATAATTCTCGAGCATATTCCTCGAAATGGTTCCGCAATTTTTCTCTTATCTCCCCAGATTTTCGAGAACATTTTTTTTCCGAAAAATGTGATAATTTGTACTCTAATGACCAGAAATATTCTCATTTGTATCCAGAGATCAGTCACCCACTGACTGATCTCTGTTGTATCTCAAATAACACAGATTTTCTCTTGCATGAGTTATTCATCAATTCCAGTAGATAGAAATCAAAAGTTAAGATAGGGACATGTAAGCCGTTTTGATCGATGATTAGTTTCGACACAAAAAAATCCTAAAATTGAAAAATCTCGATTTTGAACACCCTATATCTCTGTAATCATTCCTGCTAGACTCCAAGTGTGATGCATTGATGAAATCAGCTCTTCAGGAAGAATCTAAAAATGCAATAAAATACAGGGTGTTCCATCTGAAATAACAAAGTTGCTAGTTGTTTCTGATAGAAGTGGCAGCACTGTATCGATGAAAATATTTTAGACGGAGAGAATTTTCAATTATCAAAGCATTCCAATTTTCAGGATGTTCTGCCTTTTCGTTCTCCAGATACTTCTAATAGGCCACCACCGTGGATCACCCTGTATTGTGTTAATGTTTTTTATTGTATGTAAGAATAAATACAAAATATAAGGCATTTCTCCATTGATACGTTGAAGAATCTTGATGAAATGATGTAATGTTATCATCTAGAGATGCCAAAATCAATTTATCATTGTTGAAAACGAAACGGACTTGTAAAAACACAATGAAGTGTCTAGTTTCAACGAATGTAAACAATAATTATTATTCAATGCAATGGAAATGATTAGGTACGAATATTTTCATAATATAAATATGGGAAATCCAGAATATTCTATTTTTGAAACAATCTGAAAAAAAAAATAACATTCAAGTTCAAATATAAGAAATTTCATGCTATACAGGGTATTACAAATTCGTTGCTAAGCATGGGGATCTCTGTAACTTCAAGTGATACAGAGTAGGTCAAATTAGGGCAATGCACCATTTCATGCTCAACAAAATGCCGCTTTGAAATTGAAAACATTCAATTATTTCCGGAGATATCCGAAAAAAAAGGTTTATATTCAAAATCGTTTTTAACAATTTCTCAGTTTATTTGAAGAGATATTTCAAAATGAATGTCACTTCATCGTTGCAACTTTTCCTCCTCTACAAAATGTAATTGCCAAATTGAAAATCCGACGTTTCCTCTTCAAGCGGCCATCATCAACTTTATTGTTTCAAATGCGGACCTGGAAACGGATGCCGTTACGACATTTTTTCACTGAGCAAACCCAACTTATTTTGCAATGTTCTACCTACCCTAGCAAGGGGGTTAGGTTTTTTTGAAACACCCTGTATATGAGATATTTATATTTCAACTTCATGGTCCTCAATCGAGCAAACATCCATGAAATCATTTATTTATGAATGTTCAACAATAACTTTGTTTTATCTCTTGTGTTCGTGTTTTATCCTATTGTGCTTGTGGAACATCGTGCGTATACAGGGAGGATAGGGGGAGGCTTTTTAATCCAGTTCAACACTATTTTTTATATCAAGCTAAGCATATTTTCTTACGTTTGTAGAAAAAATGTCGTTTGCAACTCGAGCGCGAAATACTTTGATCGAGATCTGATTTCTTTAATGAGGCGTAGCATTTTGCGCTCTAGAAACAAAAATAACTATTATGAATAATAAAAACACAATTTAATCAAACAATTAATATTATTTGCTTTTTCTGACTGAACTGAAACTTGATTTTTTTTGCTGGGGCCCCCACAGTTCATGGAAGAACTGCGGCAGTAAATATTAACCGCTTTTCGATCTGTACGAAAGCGACCTGTGAGAAGTTTTAGAAAAAGCAAATAAATGCCCTCGTAAATGCCTAAATGTACACGGAAATACTTTTGAGCATTTTCTATGAAAAAAACTCAATAGTCGGTATTTTTTTCATATTGGATATTATTCGTTTGATTAAATTAAACACGCCAAAAAAAACTTGAAAAACATCAAAATACTAGTCTAAACCGCACAACGATAACTTAAATGGTTTCAGAGATATGAGCATTTGAAATGGGTCAAAATATAACTGGTCACCCGGTATAAATTCTATACATCATCCATATCCTTCTTTAACAGAATAAGTAGCTACTTGCTAGCGTTCATTACTTATTTATTATTCCACTGCTTAGATTAAGGGCACATTATGTTTATTGATTTATTACTTTTATAGATATAAGTAGTTGAATAATGTAGGTAACCAATATTGTAATTGTGATACTAATTTAAAGTTAATAATACCTACACGATTTCTAATAAATGCAAAATATGTTTTTTATACATATATAATTTAGTTAAATTCGAATTTTCCATCTAGTGCTATCACGCAAGGCATACATTGTTAATATTATTCTTTGGAGCGATTCTAGGTATGG